AAATTAAAATTTAAAAATTTAAAAAATAAACTAAAAGCTGGATTGATTTATTTATTTTAATCTTAGTCAAAAAATGTCAATCGATGGCTCATGCTCACCCCTCAATGTTTACATTCACATTATGCATAATTTATTATGATAATATGCATTTTACTATAAATGGCACTACTTAAAGCTTCAGTAGTTTAATTACAGTTAGAAGTGCTGTACCTCCTGTTATCAGGATACACTGTAGCAAAGGAGAAAAGTGTTCCCTTTTGTCTGGTATCAGGATTAACTTCCTTTACAAGAGACATCAGTTCTCTCAATGTACAATCCATCCTATGCAACACACAGCAAAGAAAAGGGAAAAAATGAGAAAAATCAATAAAGAGTAGATGATTTTTGGAGTAACTTTAATAATCCATTAAAAATTATATAATATAAGAACATGTATAAGTATCAAAAATAAATATTAAAATGGAGGGTTCTCTCCCAGTCATTTTTGGCAAAATTTGGCCAAAGTCCCTGTACTTTGGCCCAGTTTTTGAGCAACTTTAAAAATTCACAAAAAATTTAATATTGATCGGAATTAGCTCAAACTTGCTACACAACATAGGAACATGTATATGCATCAGAAAAAATTATTAAAATAGAGAATTCTCTCCTAGTCATTTTTGGCAAAATTTGGCCAAAAACCCTGTACTATAGTACAGGGACTTTGGCCCAATTTTTGAGCAACTTTAAAAATTCACAAAAAATTTAATATTGATCGGAATTAGCTCAAACTTGCTACACAACATAGGAACATGTATATGCATCAGAAAAAATTATTAAAATAGAGAATTCTCTCCTAGTCATTTTTGGCAAAATTTGGCCAAAAACCCTGTACTATAGTACAGGAACTTTGACCCAATTTTTGAGCAACTTAAAAAATTCGTAAAAAATTCAATTTTTATCGGAATTAGCTCAAAATTGCTACACAATATAAGAACATGTATATGCATCAAAAAAAATTATAAAAATAGAGAATTCTCTCCTAGTCATTTTTGGCAAAATTCCCTGTACTACTATAGTACAGGGACTTTGGCCCAATTTTTGAGCAATTTAAAAAATTCATAAAAAACCAATTCTTATCAGAATCAACTCAAAATTTCTAAAAAGCTCAAGAACATGTATACGTACTAGAAAAAGTATAAAAAGAAAAAATTCTATCCTAGCAAATTTTGAAAAAAATACCCCATACAGTATTATTGTCAAAGTTTTGAGCAATTTTAAAATCCACTATGCTTTAACACAACTTAGTGCCTTCCCGGCAGAGATTTATAATTACCAAGTGTAGATCTGTAGTTCATTTGAAGGTACATTTCCTCTCATGAAACTATCCAGTCTATGAAATGAAATGAATTTAGACTAGTAGCAGTCTTCCATCACTCACCTGTGATGTCTTCCTTCATTACAAAAGACTCTTAGTAAAAAAGGGCAAGTCTGAGAGAAAGAAAAAGAGATCAAGAGACATCCAACACTCAGAGCAAACCTTTTCCCTATCAACAGTGTAAGGCTCTACTTCCTGTTTCTTTTCTTCTTCTCCTTCTAGAGGAGCGTCTTTCTTGACTTCATGAACTTCTGAGGCCGCCATGTGTATCTAAGCCCAGCCCATTAGATACATTAACGTTTTAATTTTAAATTTTAAATAACTGAGCTACATTAAGCATGTTAAGTGTATGCATTGCTAGAGCTACATTAATCTACAATTCTACATTAATAATTAATTGTGTAATTGTTTCAGCAACCAATGGCCACTGAGTGTTCAACATGATTGAGTGTGTTCCCATTCATAAGACGACAAACTACTAGCATCAGGCCGTATCACAACAGGAGCGGATTCAGACCTTGTCAATCTTCCGTGATCATCAAGCGAATATTCAGATGATGATGTACTCCAGGTGTCTTCCATTTCTGAAGGTGAATAGTCAGATTCTGTCTCCTTGATAGAAATAATTAAATAAAATTAAAATACTGTATAATGAAACACACAGCTTTACCTCATAGTCATTTTCATCTTCGACACTGTCACTAATCTCACTATCCTCATCTTCATATGAGGAATACAAGAGATCAGCACCAAATAGATGCCAAATTGATGCAAGAGAGTCATCACTGGAACTAAGAGCATAATAGACATCACTGGAGCTACAGCTGAGGACATCATCTTCATCAGCAAACTCGACATGTTTCACTGGAGGCACTGGAGTCCTCAAATTGGGGATGCTGATGAGATTGTTAGCCCAATCTTCCAATTCCTCTTGAATTTCACCAAAGAAATCATCATCAGCTATATTTTTAGGATCATCGAGAGCAGAGCTCTCATTTGCAAGAGGAGCTGTAGTGTTCTGGATATCGGCAGCTATAGTGTCATCACCAATGGCACTGATGATTCCTTCAATATCAGACGTGAATGAAGTGTCAACAGGAATGACATCATTGCTGCCTGGTACAGTTATTAAGCCACTCAGACCCTTGACTTTAGCCATACTATCATCACCATCAGCAGCATCCATCACTGTAGCATCAACATTGACATCAGTAGAAGTAGAAGAGTGGTCATCGAAATTGATGTCAATAGATTGATATGAATAATCATTATCTATAGGCTTGCTAATGGGGGCAGTATCAGAGGATTTAGTACATTCCATAGCAGGCTCAACATCATCAGGAAGCATTTCGTTATCATTATTGTTGGTGTTACAAATTTCAGAAAAGACACCACTTTGGTGAGTCTTGAAGAAATCACATATTTCGTTCATCTGTAAGTAAAAGTGTGATAATTATAATTGCAAGTTTTGGTCAAATTTTACCTTAGCCTTTTCAGCAGAACTGTAGATTTCCACATGGAAAGTACCATCTTTATTTTTTATGATAACAAGAAATGCTTTATCACTAATGATGCTTTTAATGATTGTGACAGAACTAAGAGCTAATTTCCTGGTTCCTCTCTAAAATGAAAAGAGAATACGAGTGAATAGATTATGTGTCCTGCACGTGCACATACTTTTCCTTCAATGACAAAGTGATCATCTTGTATCTCAAATAGAAACTTTTCCTTGTTTCTGAGTTTCTTTTTTGATATGGCAGAAGCTTCAATGCAAAGCCTACAGACATCTCCAAGTCCAGAATGTGAGCGCGTTCTTCCCATAAACTGTTTGGTAAAATCATCATGACACGATAGCTAAAAAATGCATTACATATCATACCTTTACATTGCATTTCAATTGATTGCAATCTGCAATAGCTTCTCCTTTAGAATAAAAGCAGTTAAGAGACTGTAATAATCCCATAATATCAGCTTCACGAGCAGCACTAACTGTTGAGCAAGAGTAGCTTGATGAAGATGACAGTTTATTTACCTAGTTCGCGAAAATTATTTTGTTTTCCCGCTCGCCGTTGTGGCAACATGCGCACAATGGTTATTAAAATCCGCTGCGCATGTTGCTATGGCGGCGGCAATAAACAGTACTTAAAAATTAAAATAAAATTTCTGATTTTCTGTGCAATGTGCACAAAGCCACAAACTCCAGTTGTTCACAATAGTGTGTAGAGTAGCAACAAAACACAAGACTATTATACAAAATAGCTTATAAAAAATGTTAAACAACAGCTGAGAACTGATTTCACACTAAAAATAAGTTTACTATAGCAGCAGCATAATGAGAAAAGGCTTGATAGGCTTGATTAATTTAATGTCAGCTGTGCTTCGAGTATTGCTCTGAGAGTTGAATTAAGCTTCAGATCAGTCACCTAATAAAATAATGAAATACTAATAGCAATAGTATTTAAGTTCTCCTTACAGAATTATATGTATCCTCCATGTTATCCCTGAATCCATTGATCAGTGATCCAATATCAGTTGGTGAGTATGTTATTCTAATACCAGCTTCAGAAGCATCGATCAAACTTCTGTAATCTTCTTGATAAACTTGAGTTGCAAGTCCCCACTATGTTAAAAATTTATATGACACAGTTGTTAATTTAATAATAATACAATAAAGAATGATGACATTACCTGGTTATCAAGTAATTCTTTAAGGCTTCTAAGACGTCTCACCATACCAGTGAATCCAACACTCTTGGACTCTCCATTGATATTGATATTGATATTGTATGGATCAAACACATTGAACTGTGTATATGCTACTTGGACATTCACTGCATCGCTGGTAGCTTGTGGTGTCACAATAATAACAATGAGGGATAGAGTACTATAAATAATTAAAACTAAAAACAAATAATTCATTATAAATATAGTACCTCCCATCATAAGTCCAGCAGTCACTGGTAATTCATCAAATGAACC